TTATTTATTATTTAATATTTTTATATTCATAATTATAATTTCAAGTTTTATTATTTTTATTATAAACTAATTTAATCAACTAAAGTTACGATATAACCTAATCAATTTAATATAAATTTTATCATTTTTATACTTTTAATTAAAGTTATTTGCATAATAAGTTTTTATTATTGATCTTAATGCTTTAGAAGCATGATCACTTTTTGATAATTATGTGATTTATGTATGAACTTAAAAATAATTGCGTAAATTAAACTAATAACAATATAAACCATGTATTAAATTGTGAGACCGAAAAATAATTAGTGTCACATATGATAGTGGGGGAAGAGAAGAGAGTTAAAAGCTATCCCTTCTTAAACTAGAGATTTCCATATCAATTAATGCTCATTAGTTTATTTTAAATTATGTAAAGATATAACTAATTTAACAACCAAGTGAAAAATCAATTTGACTTAAAGAAGCTAATTAGTTAATAGATTTGTCTATACTGTATCCTAAGGGCACAGGATAAAATGCATTTATTATATCTTTTTTTATCATTAATCATGCATTAATTTATATATATAAAAAAAAAGTTAACATTGATTTTAACATCTATGGCACATGAATATTTTTTATTGAACAATTGGTAAAATTAATATCGACTTTTAGTTTTACAATGTATATTAATGATAAAAAGGTACAATAACTGCACTCTTAGGACACATGATAGAAAAACCCTTAATTAATTTAAGAGAATCCACTATCACGTACAATAATACTTAATAAATTAGTTTTAGAAATGTATTAATTTAAAATTTATATTAATTAATTATAGTGAAATCGAATACTCTAGTAAATAGTTATTTTAAAAGAATCCACTATCATATACAATAACACTTAATAAAATTAGTTTTTATTGTGTAATAAAAATTTTATATATATTCTCATTGCCATGTCATTTAAGAGTTTTATAATATTAATAGTTTATTTGATGTAGAATTTTCATGTTATTAAAGGAAATAAGAAAAATTCATGCCGCATTCATTTAATCGGACGTTATAAATGGATTAAAATTTTGTAGTTTTTAAAGTTAAAAACAATAAAATGTAAAAAAATAAAAAAGTAAAAATTATATAAAACTTTAAAATTAAAAGATTAAAATTAACATTTAACTTAATAAAAATGAATAAAACACGGGGCATAAGTAAATAAAAAAATACTAAAGGTATGTTTGTTTTATCCTTTTGAAAATAACTATAAGCTATTAATTTTAATTAAACATATTAAATATTTTGAATTGCAGATAATAATAATTATCAATTGTTAAATATCAAATATTAACTATCAACTATTTCAAAAAAATTAATCCAAACAACCTTCAAAATAATAATACTAATGAGTTATAT